ATTTTAAGCGTTTTGAGTTAATTTCTTATGGAAGAGCAGTACTTCTTTTACTTTTCACTCAAATGTTTTTATCAGAGGCAAAGGAAACCCTAGGGGTGTGGAGGCATAACCTGAAGAGGGCATGGCCTAACACCTCCATTTGCTCTAAAGTTTTAGGCAGTTTTGCATCCTACTTCATAATATTGTTATACCAGTGATGTGTATTTGGGGGGAATGTCTACAGTGTTTATCCTAGGCTTTGTATGCCCCTTGTCACAGGGCCAAGTATCACAGCTTGAGAAGCAGAGAGTTCAAATTTTTTCTTTGGTTTATTCATTGAGAAAATATTCAGTGAAGGGACGCCAGGCTGGCTCAATCGGTAGAGCATGTGACTCTTGATCTCAGGGTGGTGAGTTCAAGCCCCATGTTGGGTATAGATTATAAATAAATAAACTAAAATATATATATATATTCAGTGAATACCTGCCTTATGTGTGACCCTGTGCTGGTAATGTATCAGAGGCCCTGATCTGCAATGAAGTATGAAAACTTACAGCAGTACTAATGCAAAGGAAGAAGGATATAGTGATTAACTCTTTCTTGAGATCAGATACAGAATCCTGAAATAAATGTGTCTGAATTTTGAAGAACTTAAAAGTCTGAAAGTACAACTGAACTTTGAACAGTGCAGGCACCAATTCCCCTGCAGTTGAAAATCCAAGTATAACTTTTTTTTTCAAGTATACCTCTTGACTCCCCAAACTCTTTTAACTAAAAGCCTACTGTTGATCGGAAGCCGTACCACTTATATGAACAGCCAGTTAACACATACTTTGTATGTTTCATGCATTATACACTATATTCTTAACAATAAAATAAAGAAGATGTTATTAAGAAAAGTATACAGAAGAGGGTGCCAGAGTGGCTTAGTTGGTTAAGCCTCCGACTCTTGGTTTCAGCTCAGGTCATGATCTCAGTGTTGGGGGATTGGGCCCTATGTGGGGCTCCCTGCTCAAGGTAGAGTCTGCATAAGATTCTCTCTCCCTCTGCCTCTCCCCCCCACCCCGTGCACGCTCTAAAATAAATAAATCTTTTTTAAAAATCGTAAGAGAAAATACATTTACCGTACAATATTTTATTTATCGAAAAAATTCTGCATATAAGTGGAACCATGCAGTTCAAACCCATGTTGTTCAAGGGTCACCTGTAATGTCAAAGTACAATTTTTTTTTTTTAAGTTAGAAACATGGGGGGGGGGGCGCCTGGGTGGCTCAGTTGTTAAGCGTCTGCCTAGGGCCCTGGGATCGAGCCCCACATCGGGCTCCCTGCTCAGCAGGAAGCCTGCTTCTCCCTCTCCTACTCCCCCTGCTTGTGTTCCCTCTCTCGCTGTCTCTCTCCTATCTGTCAAATAAATAAAATCTTAAAAAAAAATAAATTAGAGGGGCGCCTGGGTGGCTCAGTCGGTAAGCGTCTGCCTTCGGCTCAGGTCATGGTCCCAGGGTCCTGGGATCGAGCCCCGCATCGGGCTCCTTGCTCTGCGGAAAAGCCTGCTCTCCCTCTCCTGCTCCTCCTGCTTGTGTTCCTCCTCTCGCTGTATCTCTCTCTGTCAAATAAATAAAATCTTTAAAAAAAAAAAAAAATTAGAAACACTGGTCTTATACAAACATAGTAAGCATGTGTCAAAAATGTATTTAACTCTATGGAATGAATAAGTCATGAGAGTAAAAGGCACACCTAAGGAATACAGTTAATGATCATTGTGATAGCGATGTAACAGGACAGAGGGTAGCTATACTTGTGGTGAACACAGCATAATATACAAACTTGTCAAATCACTAAGTTGTACACCTGAAACTAATTTAACATTGTGTGTAAACTATACTCAAAATTTTTAAAAATGTACTTAACCCATTAATGGAGGAACTGGCAAGGTGGTAAAGTTGATCCAAAGTAATATGGGAGAGGAGTACCTTGGCTGGCTTGGTCAGTGGAATGTGCAACTCTTGATCTCAGGATCGTGCATTGGAGCCCCATGTTGGGTGTAGAGATTACTTAAAAATAAAATCTTAAAAAATATATATATGGGAGAGCCCAAAATCACTGAAAGAAAAACTGATGAAATAAGATTGCAAAGTTAGCTCAAAACTGGTTACTGGGATGTGCACTCCCGGCAAAGACAGAGGGACGGGGCCCAGATTTACCCTTCCATCTGAAACAGTAAGAAAGTGGGCAAAAATATATGGGGAGTAAAGGCTTTTCAGACTGGGCATCGGACAATGAAGGACACTGATCCCTGAGAGGCAAGATACAAATGAGGTGAGCCCATTGCCCTAGCTTATTGCCTGGAGATCTCCAGGCAGGGCAGTGGGAGAAGAAACCTAGGTAGAGCCCAGTAGTCCCGCTGAGTTGAATATATAGAGCTAGGAGTTCAGGAAGGCCAAGTCAGCTAGGACAGAGTACTAGAAGTTAGCTTCACAGAAAGCAAGAGCTATGGAAATATACAGAGGATCCTCCAGCCTGCAACTGAATACTAATCAACACATAGGTGTGAGGAAACTACCCAAAAAAATTAGAGGAATTTTCAAAGCTCAAACAGGACCAGGGATGTTCCTGTTCCTATCACTGAAAATGGAAAACCCTCATAATCCATAGGACATCAGAATATTCAGAATGGTTTTTGACTCCAGAGTGGGTCAAAATTAACCAGAAACTAAATGTTGCTTTCATACTGCCTTAAGTCTAAAAGCAAGACCCAAAAGGATCAAGCTGCTTCCAGATAACTATATCCCAGAAGAATGTTAAATAATACTTATAGGAGTATTAAAACAGCCAGGACTGTAAAAGGTAAAAAACACATTGTCTGGCATCCAGTCAAAAATTATCAGGCATACAAAGCAGCAGTATACATCCCACAGTAAGAAAAATCTATAAATTGAAATTAACCCAGAAATAACCATGAAATTAGTAGAGGACATTAAAGCACCATGTCATATGTTTAAAAAGCTTGAGAAAAGACTGAGCAAATTAAGTAGTAGAGATGTGGAAAATATGTTTTTTAAAGACTCAGGTAGAAGAGATAAGACACTGCAGAACAAAAGATTAGTGAATTTGAAGACGTACCAGTAGAAGAGGAGACTAAAAGTGTGAGGGGAAAAAAAAAAGAGTAGGACAACTTCACCTAGAGTAATATTCATGAAATTTGAGTCCCCAAAGAGAGGAGGGACAGATCAATGTTTGAAGAAATAATGGCCAAAAATTTTCCAAATTTGTTAAAAACTGTATAAACCCACACATGCAAGAGACTCCATGAACCCCAAGCAAAAGAAACCAGGAAAACTACACCCAGAGGAACAAAGACAACAATGACATCAGATTTCTCGTGGGAAATAATGTAAGCAAAATAATAGTAGAGGGACATCTTTAAAATCTTGAAGGGGGTGGAGGACTGTCAACCCAGGATTCTATACCCAGCAAAAATATCTTTCAAAACTGAAGGTGAAAGGAAGACTTGTTTAGATATACACAAGCTGAAAGAATTCATTAACAGCAGACCTGCACTGCAGGAAATGTTAAGGGAAATCTATCAGGCAGAGGAATACGAAACAGATCATAGATGCAAAGAAAAATAAACACAAAGGAATGCAGAGCACCAGAAATAGTAATTATGTGGTTAAATATAAAATACTTTTTTAAAAATACTTTTCAAAAGATTTTATTTGTCAGAGCGAGCACAAGCAGGGGGTGCGGCAGGCAGAGGGAGAGGCAGGCTCCCCGCTGAGCAAGGAACCCGATGCAGCACTCGATCCCAGGACCCTGGGATCATGACCTGAACCGAAGGCAGACACTTAACCAACTGAGCCACCAGGCATCTCAAAATATTTATTACCTAAATCGCTGAAAAATTGTTTAAAATAAGTAATATGTATTATGAAGTTTCTAACATGTAGAAGTAAAATATGACAAAAATAGCGTAAAGGCTGTATAGTACACTCTTGTAAGTTTCTTATGCTCCATGCTATACATGAAGTGGTATAATATCACTTCAAGGTTGAAGGTAAGACTGTGGTAAAGATGTATGATATAAACTAAAGTAACCAATAAAAACATGCAACAGAGTTCATAAGCCACCAAAGGGCATAAATTAGAATACTAAAAGTGGTCAGTCCAAAAGTAGGCAGAAAAATAAGGAAAAGGAAGAGAATACAGATGGCATGAATAGAAAACAGCAAAAGAGTAACCACATCAATAATTACAGTAGTCATGTTAAATATAAATGGTCTAAGCACTACAGTTAAAAGGTAAAGATTGCCAGATTGGATAAAAAAGCAGGACCAAACTATATGCTACCTAAAAGAAACCCACTTTATTTTTTTTTTTTTTTAAAGATTTTTTTATTTATTTATTTGACAGAGAAAGACATAGCGAGAGAGGGAACACAAACGGGGAGTGGGAGAGGGAGAAGCAGACTCCCCGCCGAGCAGGGAGCCCGATGCGGGACTCGATCCCGGGACTCCAGGATCATGACCTGAGCCGAAGGCAGTCACTTAACTAACTGAGCCACCCAGGCGCCCCAAGAAACCCACTTTAAATATAAAGACTGTTGTTATTACCATTTACAAAGAGCTTGAAAGAGGCTATTCTATCCAAATCAAGTTCTCCTGTCTGGGTAGCAGCACACTTCAGATTGGGCCATCTGTATCATTCCTCTCCTAACATTGTCCTTGCATTAGACTAGTTAGGCTGGTCTCCTTAGAATCGCTGCCACACCCCATGCAGACTCTTGTTTATGCTTCGTTGCCTATGAAGAATTCTTCACAACTCTCAAGTCCTTTCTGCTTTATCCAAAACTTCACCTGTGCTCATTCAAGACCAGTTTTGACTGACCTGTTCCATGAGTCAAAGTCAGGCCCCATCATAACCGACAATTATGTCATAGATCACAGAATGTCAGAGGTCTCAAGAACAGTAAAGAATTTCTTGTCTATTCCCCTTATTTTATAGGTGAGAAAACCATGAGTCCAGTGAGGTTACATGGCCAGCCCAGGTTCATACAAGTTTAGTGGTAAGTTTGTAGTAGGGCCAAAACACGTCATTGCTTTCTTTAATTATCTGCCACTCACAATTAAGTACACTTCTTAGGTTATAATTATGATGCATGTGCATAGCATTAATATTTATGTACATATTTCTTGTGCTTGCCTTATTTCCCAAGTTAAGCTATAATACCAGTAGACACCTTTTTTTTTTAAGATTTATTTATTTTAGAGAGAGAGTGCAAACAAAAGGGAGAGGGGGAGAGAGAGCATCTCAAGCAGACTCCCCATGAGTGCAGAACCCAACACAGGGCTCAATCCCAGGACCCCGAGGTCATGACCTGAGCTGAAGTCAAGAGTCAAACATTCAACCAACTGAGCCGCCGAGGTGCCCCACCAGTGGACACCTTTAATTAGTATTCTGATGCTTAGAGAAATGCTGGATATATAGGTACACAGTAGGTTATATTTTATAATTATGATATATGATAATAAGCTTAGAGTCTAAATTGACAAGATCACAAAGCAAGAAGTAATTCATTACTTTTTACCATTTGAAACAAGATGGTTAATTCCCCTCCATAGAGTAGCTAAGATTCAAAATATTTTTTCTGGGGGCGCCTGGGTGGCTCAGTCGGTCGGGCATCTGCCTTCAGCTCAAGTCATGATCTGAGGGTCCTGGGATCGGGCCCCACATCAGGCTCCCTGCTCAGCGGGAAGTCTGCTTCTCCCTCTCCCTTTGCCCCTCCCCAGCTCTCTCTCTCTCTCTCTTTCTCTTTCTCTCTCTCTCTCTTCCCCCCCTTCCCTCTCCCTGTCTCAAATAAAATCTTTTAAAAAATATATTTTTCTAACATATATTTCCAGATCTTGCTACTCATATGTAAAATAATTTAGTATCTTTTTATCTACTGATTGTTTTTCAACTGTAATATAAAGTCAGTTCCTTATCATGTTATCCACAAGTATTCACAAAGGTCTGTACCCATGCTGTCTGATGCAGGAGCCATTAGCTATTTAAGCTTATGAATGGGGGCACCTGGGTGGCTCAGTTGTTAAGCATCTGCCTTTGGCTCAGGTCATGATCCCAGGGTCCTGGGATCGAGCCCCACATCAGGCTCCCTGCTCCGCAGGAAGCCTGCTTCTCCCTCTGCCGCTCTCCCTGCTTGTGTTCCCTCTCTTGCTGTGTCTCTCTCTAAATAAATAAATAAAATCTTTAAAAAATAAATAAATGAATGAATGAATAAATAAATAAACTTAGATGAAAGAAAATTAAATGGAATTTGAAATTCAGTAACTCAGTCACTAACCGGGAGCTGGTAGCTACTGTCTTGGACAGCACTGATAAAGAATGTTTCGTCATTGCACAAAGTTCTGTTGGTCTAGAATGTGTTATATAATGATAAATTGTTTTACCTGCAGAAAGGGAAACCAAGGATTTTTACCAGATTCATACTGATGAGAGAGCCATTCCGGTAACCAGACAGCAGCCCTAATGTGTCAAGAGTAATTCTAGTAGTGTCCCTACCCCAGAATGGGCACACATTTCCTCATCCTCTATGGTCCAGGCCTCTGCAGTCAGGTACACAAGATAATCCATTGAGAAGTAAGAGAAAATAAGTTTATCGTTCATATTTTATCTTCTGTTTAAATTCATATTTATGTATTGTAGTAGAATGTGTATGTAAATAAATATACATAATATGAGGTATCTGCTCACAGTATTTTTAGTTACTGGGATGCATCATCAGAAATGTAGAAGCCATTTCTTTAGTGTCCCGTTGATAAAGCCGCCCTGTTGCTGTGTGGTCTACTGCTGGAGCTCCAGCACCCTCACCACCAGCTGCTTCGTGTTTGACGGTGCCTTTGTGGCTCTGTGTCCAATCTCCTCAAGAGGGGATCTAATTGGATAGGCCAGTCACCACCCAGAATCAAGTAGCTGGACAGAGCTCTTAATTCAGGATGATTTATAGACCCCTTGCCAGCCTTGAGATGGTACCTTTAAATGAAACACCATCGCCAGTACATTTTACTGTGATGATGGTCCTGGAGTTACAGAATACAAAGCATGAAACTGTTGTTAAGGAATCTTTCCAAAGAAGGCACTAAGCTTGGCAAGTACTCTGGGCCTTCTTTTAAGAAAACCATGTAAACTGCTTGGTAGTGTACATTCTCCGTCCAGTGTGTTTGTTAAAAATAAATTACAGCTTCCAGAAAGGAAGGTCAGAAAGTGAAGTCTCTTTGACTGCCTTCATACTCCTTTCCTGCTAATATGGTGCAGACACTGTGGTAGAAAGAATAATGGCCCCCAAAGATGTCTATGTTTTAATCCCCAGAAACTGAATGTGTTACCTTATATGATAAAAGGAACTTTGCAGGTTGAATTAATTTGGGGACCTTGGACGGGACGTAGCCTGGATTGTCCAGGTAGGCCCAATGTAAACACAAGAGTCCTTGTAAAAGGGGTGCCCATGTCAAAAGTCAGAAAAAGAAGGTGTTACCACAGAACCAGAGAGTGTAGTGATGTGCTCTGAAGGTGGAGGAAGGGACCATGAGCCAAGGAATACAGTCAGCTTTTAGAAGCTAGAACAGGCAAGGAAACAGATTCTCCTCTGAAGGCTCCAGAAGTAATGCATCCCTGCTGCTACCTGGATTCTAGATTTTTTACCTCCAGAATTATAAGAAAATAAATTTGTGTTGTTTTAAGCCACAGGGTTTGTGGTGATTTGTTACAGCAGCAATAAGAAACTAATAGAGACACGTATTGATAATCACTTTCGACAGAGCTTTTATGAAGCACTTTCGGCATGACAGGCACAAAAATACCAGATTTCCATTTTTTAAATCTCTTTACTTTCATAAAGCTCTTGAAGAGCTAGATCAATCACTACTTTTCATTTTGGGTTGGCTTCTAAATCAATTAGGATGCTTTCAGTTGCCAGTAAAAGAATGGGAATTTGTTGGATTCAATAACTGGAAAATGTGAAGGTCAGGCAGCTGTCAGGACTCTGGCTCCATTTCCCTGTGAATCTCTTGGCTCTGTTCTTTCCCACTGTCAGCGACATCCTTGGGCTAGTTTCCCCATCTCAGGGTGGCTACCAGGAACACCTGGGGCTGTGTGCTCAAAGTGCTCTGGATTGGAGTGACTGGGAAGAATTCCTGTGTCGAGGAGGACAGTCTTTAGCCGGGATTGGAGTCAATCTCACATTGTTTCATTACTTTATTCAGTAAGGGAAGGGGGCGTTATGACTCCCCTAAGAAAATCTGGGTGCTATTAGGAAAGGGAAAGGGTATTGATAATAATCAAGAGCCTGTTATAATAGATAAAAGATAAATGATAATATCTTGAAGTAATACTAGTGTAAAATGTTAATAACTGGTATAGTGCTTCAGTACTAAATTGTATCATTTCATGTCTATGTATCATCACCAGAAGTTCTGAATGTGTCTTTTTCTATGCATCATAAAGACATTTTTTTTTATTTTTTTTTTTTGAGAGAGAGAGAGAGCGAGCACAGCATGGGTGGCCAGGGGGCACAGAGGGAGAGAGAGAATCCCAAGTAGCCTCCATGCCCAGCACAGAGCCCGACACAGGGCTCAATCTCATGACCCTGAGATCATGACCTGAGCCGAAATCAAGAGTCAGACACTCAACCGACTGCACCACCCAGGTGCCCCAAGACATTTTAGAAAAAATCTTCTAAAAGTTTGCAGTTAGGAATGTTGTGTCTTTTTTGCCCATTGGTGCTAATTATTACATAGCAACAGCTTGATGACATACTTTCCTGACCTGTGAGGGTTTCTTCCATTCTGGTGTTGGATTCTTCGTCTTTCTCCATCATTAAGGTCCTAATTGCAGTGAATTAGACTCTTGCTTTAAAAGCTTGTCAACAAGCTTTCTCATATAAACATCTTTTTATGTAGTGATTATTATTTCTGACATCCATAATTGAGGTCCTTGATCACTTAAGCAAAACAAAGATGTTCGGTATTCATGATGTTAAGAGACTTACAGTGGACCGTTCCATTTCAAAATCTTCAAAACTGACTCTGTGAAAAAAAAAATCAAAATGGGCTCTTTTCTTATACATAAAACCAAGTAGAATGTTAAGGAGCATAATGATTATTTTTAGGTTAGGTAGAAATTTTTAGAAAAACAAATATTTTCATTTTCATATATATGTCAATATTAGATTCCAGTTATCTGACAAATTGCTCCAGCAATAGATAAATTTATAATCAACTTGCTAGTAATGAGTGACTAAGTCTGTAAAGTACCATGGAAGACAAGGTAAAGGAGCCTTAAAACATATCATTAGTTGGAATAGGATTGGAGGAATATATTATTAGTACATTTGCTATGCAATTTTTTGAAATGACTTGACAAAGTTTATCATAAACTGCCTTTAGCAAATAGCTTGCCTTTAATGATGGCAAATGATGTGCAGCTACAAGAACTCTAACTCCTTAAGATTTTTGTGAATAATTTTAGAGGAGTAGAATTCTCTAAACTTAAAAAATATGCAGAAAAATCTCCCAGAGATTTTGATTCACTTTCTCTGAGGTGGGGTCAGTGGCCAAGGTAAAAACCACTAACTTAGAGGACTTTTAATATTACAAATAGGGCACAAGTCAGTAACTGTAGAAAAAGAGATGGAATTTTTAAGATAATAGAGAAATTATATTAAATGCTCATGCCAAGTTGAAGAATGCTGCTACATTCAGGACAGTGGATGCTTAATCCAGTTCAGAGAAATGAAATCTTTTTTTTTTTTTTTTTTTTTTTTTGAGAAATGAAATCTTAACTTACTTTTAAAGCCTGCAGCTAAAAAGAAAGCATATTTTCTTCTGCCTACATTGCAGTGCAATTTGACATTCACTAACTTTTCTCATTCATACATTTTGAATTTTAACAATACTCACTGCTACCCCAGTCACAGAGAGAAGCTAGAACTCCATAGCAACCTGGCAGTAATGTTGGATTGAGTTAGCCTGAGAAATAATGTTTTTCAAATTACAATATTTGGATCAGTTCAGAGAAGTGGTAAAAACATGAGTCAGTGATTCAATAAATGGTGTTGGGACAGTAAGCCATCCATTTCAAAATTAAAGCTACATAAAATAAATTCCAGGTGGGTCAGAAAGTTATCTGTACATATAGACAATGAGAACTCAGAAGACAAGAGGTTTTTAAAATGTAATCAGGGAGTGGGGAAGGCCTTCATAAGCAAAACCCCAAATCCAGAAGTCATAAAAGAAGCCATTGAGAAGTCATGTACTGTAGTAGGTAAAGATTTGAATTCTGATGATGGTCTGAGTTCATTTCCGTTTGTTTTTTACAGCTATATGATCTTGGAACTAAGAATACCCTATAAATATCAAAAAGATGTTTAATCAAAGAAATATATATTCAAACAGTGAGGCATCATTCTTTGCCTCTCAAATTGGCAAATATTAACAAGGATTGTAAAGAGGGTAATGGAAAAGTGTAGTCCCTCATATTCTATTCATGGAGGTTAAATCAGTACAGCCTTTTTGTGAAGGTGAATCAGCAATATCTGTTGAAAGTTAAAATGAGCATACACTTTGACTCAGCAATTCCAATTTTAAATATCTACATATTACATATTAAAAAGAAGTATGGGGGCGCCTGGGTGGCTAAATCAGTTAAGCATCTGCCTTTGGCTCAGGTCATGATCCCAGGGTCCTGGGATTGAGCCCCGCGTCAGGCTCCCTGCTCAGTGGGGAGTCTGCTTGTCCCTCTCCCTCTGCCTCTCTCCCCTGCTTGTGCTCTCTCTCTCTCTCTGTCAAATAAATAAATAAAATCTTTTAAAAAATGAAGTGTGTACTAAGATTTTTACTGAGGCATTGTTGGAAATAGCTGAAAACTAATATTCTAAATTAATGTCATTGTGGGAATTAACCTTTGGGGGAGGAGTGGAAAACGGATCTTTTTTTGAAAACCTATACACTTCTGTAACTGTAAAACTGAAAATGGTTTTAGACAATATTTTCCATAAAAGTTGCGAGCCAGTTAATGTTTTCTATTAAGGCATAGCTCCCTTTAATCAAACAGTAATATTCAGAATGTCTCTCTATAAACATGTTTTATATCTACTCCTTTGCAGAATGGAAACAGACTGTAATCCCATGGAGCTGAGCAGTATGTCAGGGTTTGAAGAAGATGCAGAGCTTAATGGTTTTGAAGAAGCTGATACGAAAGACATGAAGCTAGAAGCCGAAGCAGTTGTAAATGATGTTCTCTTTGCTGTTAACAACATGTTTGTCTCAAAAAACCTGCGCTGTGCCGACGATGTGGCCTATATCAATGTGGAGACAAGAGAAAGGAACAGATACTGCCTGGAGCTCACTGAAGCAGGGCTAAGGGTCAGTCGCTTTTCTTATTAGGGGAAAAAAAAAATGTTGCTATCTCTACCACTTGAGGGGGCGGGGGACAGGAAGGGTGTTAACTGAGAACGCAACACCTTGCAGCTCCAAAATTTTTTTTTTTTTAAGATTTATTTATTTGTTTTTAGAGAAAGAGAGAGCAGGGGCGAGGGGCAGAGGGAGAGAGAATCTCAAGCAGACTCCACGCTGAGCGTGGAGCCTGACTCGGGGCTCAATCTCATGACCCTGAGATCATAACCTGAGCCAAAACCAAGAGGCGGACACTCAACTGACTGCACCACCCAGGCGCCCCAAGAGTTTTGTAAGGAAAACTTTTTTCCCTAGGAATTCTTATTAATTCTAAAGTCTTTTGGTTAACATGGGGAAATTGGATTTTTTTTTTGAAAAAGAAAAAACTTTTGATTTGCAGTGTTACTTTGCTTTGAACCTCACCCCCCAAATTAGTTTATTTCTTGTCTATGGCTAAATATGTCTGCCGTAATTAGGCATTCTTTGCACTGGGTGAGTTTTGCAATCAGTGTGTTGAGAGGATCTTTTCCCACCTCCTATAAAATGTCTCTTCTAAAACAGCACACCTGACTGCACTGTTCTCTAGCTGTTGGATCAGAGCTAAGTCACAGCAGAATACTCTGCCTCCAAATTTGCAAGAGTGTCTTGTCCTATGTGTGAGCTTTTCTAGGCAGAGTCACCTCTCTGCACCCTTTGAACCAGAATCCTCACTTTGGAATAGCAGAAAGCCCTACCCAAGAGCAGCTTATCATTTAAAACAGCAAAACTCACTGGCGCGCCTGGCTGGCTCAGTCAGTGGAGCGTGCGGCTCTTAATCTCGGGGTTGTAGGTTTGAGCCCCACCTTGGGTGTAGTGATTACTTGAAAATAAAATCTTTAAAAAATAATAAATAAGACAACAAAACTCACTGTTAGGAAAATTTTTTACCTGAACAAAGGAATAGATATTAGAAATTCTGAAATTTAGTTTGACTTTAATACTTATCAGTCTTGGTCAAAGATCTCTGCCTTTTCTGTTTCTATACCTAAGAATAGTCCCGCAAAGTAGCACAGTATCATAAGGTACGGGGCAAGGCCTAAGCAAGTAAGAATGTCATACAATACTAAACAAGTACGTAGACATCTTTTTATTTCACTAGGTTCAATTTGCTTAGAAGTATATGAACCATGTGTCCTGTGTATTCGTTGACAGTCAGTCACCTGCACTGAAGTAAATTGCAAGGCTAGCCTCTTTACTACTTCCGGTTCCCTCATAACTGCCAAGTCATTAGCTCCTTAGCTTTGGGAGTAGTACCTGGATTAACTAATCTTTGTGCTCTCCTTCCTAAATCCCTAAACTTACGCTAAAAGCGTGTAGCGTGTAGAAGTGGATCTTAAAATAGAAATAGGCAAATCAAAAGTAGAGATAAATGACCCTGCATAAATTAATTCAGTCTTGCATTGATTAATTCTGAGATGACTGTGGGAAGGTAGGAAGGGTTCTGATGTTCTTCTGTCAGAAGCCTAACATGGGAATTTGAGTGATCTTGGGTAAGTCATTCAACCTCTCTTAGTCCCTTCTTCTTTATCTATAGCCTAGAGATTAGAAAAAAAAAAGAAAAGAAAACTAAAAAGGATTTGGGGAATGCTTATATGAATAGTTTGCGGAAAGATCTCAATCCCTTAAAAACCTGGCACGTGGGTATCCAGTATTTGTTTGTTTTTGCAGTCTTACTCAGTAAACTTTTATTGAGCAACTATCCTGGGTCAGGAATTGGAAATCAAACCATGAGTAAGGTGTGATCCCTGTCCACTAGGAAGACTACAGACTAGCAGGGGCAAATAGAATTGGAAGGCACGGAGAAAGTGCAGTGACACAGCATGGTTCTGAAGAGGTGTGCCTCATCGTCCTGACACGTCTGCCTCTGCGTGTCATGTACGACAAACAACACCACCACTTCTTTTTTTTTTTTTTTTTTAAGATTTTATTTATTTTTTAGAGAGCGAGCGAGAGAGAAACAGCATGAGAGGGGAGAGGGCCAGAGGGAGAAGCAGGCTCCCCGCTGAGCCGGGAGCCCAATGTGGGACTCGATCCCAGGACCCTGGGGTCATGACCTGAGCCGAAGGCAGACGCTTAACCATCTGAGCCACCCAGGCGCCCACAACAACACCACTTCTAACATAAACTTGCATCTTCTTGGATAGGTGGCTTGGATAGATGTCATTAAAAATTAGAGTTTATATAGGGAATTCACAAGCTTTAGTCAAATCAACGAAAACTAAGTTGATTTTGCCCTAACACTGTGCAGGTGAACCAGGATAGATCTTGTCGGGGACAAAAGCTTTCACTGTGTTTAAAGAAAACACACATACACAGAATAACATTCCCTTTTATGTCACAGAATTGAGCATTTGTTTCCCTGTCAGATAAGTAATGTGTTAGTAATGTTAAATTAGTAATGTAACTAATTGTAAAGCAGGATTGAAACTATAAACAATTTTTAGAACTCTTTATAAAAGAGTTCAAATAATGATAAAAATACGGACTGATAATATATTATCTCTTCTGGTGCCTTGTTATGATTGATCCTCAGTCGATGTGGGATTAAAGAGAAGCATGTTTCAGTCTATGAAAATGAAATACTAGTTCTTTGTAGCTTTTTACATTCCTTCTGACATTCCTTTTTAGTCAGGAGTAGGTAAACTGAACCTTTTACATTTTCAGGAAAAAGATGATAAAGAGGGCATTTTGTTGGTGGTGTTGCTGTATGTTTCCGGTTGCTTAGAAATGTGCATATTCGGGGCGCCTGGGTGGCTCAGTCGTTAAGCGTCTGCCTTCGGCTCAGGTCATGATCCCAGGGTCCTGGGATTGAGCCCCCGCATCAGGCTCCCTGCTCCGCTGGAAGCCTGCTTCTCCCTCTCCCACTCCCCCTGCTTGTGTTCCCTCTCTCTCTGTGTCACTCTCTGTCAAATAAATAAATAAAATCTTTAAAAAAAAAAAAAGAAAAGAAATGTGCATATTCTAACTTTTGATTGAGAAATTGTGTCATTAAAGAATGGCCCCAGTAAACACGTGGTTTTTGCTTTCTGTACCAAGTTAAATCTAGTTATTTGATTCACTGTTGCATTTCTCTTGTAGGTGGTAGGTTATGCTTTTGACCAAGTGGATGATCACTTACACACTCCCTATCATGAAACCGTCTACTCGTTGCTGGATACCCTCAGCCCTGCCTACCGGGAAGCATTTGGAAATGCACTCCTTCAAAGACTGGAAGCTTTGAAGAGGGATGGATAGTCATGCTTTTTCCTTCTAGAGGGGGCTGCTGGTACAAAATGTTGACATAAAGCTTGAAATACTTGCATATGGTCATAGTAGAAAATGCATCTTTGGTTTTTATGTCCATTTCTTGCTTCAAGTTTAGGCTTCTGACTCAAAACATTACTGATTAATGAATTGTCTTTCTTAGTTTCAGATTCATGAAGGGAATTGAGGCCATTGCTTGACACCATCATTAAGACATTCAGATTTGTTCATATAGTATCTTTGCATTTCAAAACCTAATCAGTATTTCATTCTGTTATTACAGGACTTTGATGCTGCCGGCCCTCTCTCTTACATAGGAAATTCTAGATTTGCACAGTAATATACAGGAATTAAAATGACCTAACTTCATACTTGGATTCAGCTTGCTAAATCAGGGGTTTACTACTAGCTTGGACTGACTTTGTAGTAATTATTTTGCTACTAGCCTTATTGGAAACAAATTATCAACTAGTTTCCCCTGCACAAATTTTGAAATTCACTGCTTCACTTAATCTATTTATATTACTAATATGGACTGATAAAGATGAATTAATTATATATATATCACTTAGGTAGTATTAAATGGAAAACAGGTACTGAAATAATAGTTCTGTATTCCTTGTTTGCAACAGCCAGCCAACTAAGAGGACAAACCGTTAGCAAATGAATGTAATAATTACTTGTTTCCAAGATATTTAAGCACACAAGCAAATATAGGAACAGGCTCCATTTTTCTTAACAAAAAAGCATCTTCAGTGTGTGTGTATGTGTGTGTGTGTGTGTGTGTGTGACTTAAAAGGAAGAAGATTCTGATTTCCTAGAAAACAATATTTTGGCCTGTGTTGATTCTTATTATGAATGTTTGTTTACATAATGTACAGTATATATTCAGAAAGTATTTTTGCTTCAATGTTTCCTTTCTATAAAGTAGTGCTTTGGTATTCCCATAGCGCTCCTCCTTCCCCAACAAATGCACAGTGTTCTGGCTCGATGCGAAATCTACAATGCAATATGCGTGCATTGTATGGGTTTGAAACCAAAGGATGAATGAAGCATTCAGAGACTTAATATTTGAAAAAAGGAGGCTCTGTTTTTATATTTATTACAGGTACTAATATTTATAAAAATGAATTGTACCATGCTGCTACATGTTTTCAAGTACATATTGAATACTGAGGATTGGGGAGTTGATTTTTTAGTAGTAACCTAAAGCAGCTGTAGAAATGTTGAAGTAAAACTCTGCATCGGGACACACCTTTGTAATTTGTCATTTGCAGACTTTTTTTAATCATTATTAAGTAATAGGTACTTTTAGGCTCTGAGGATCATGTAGACCACATTGAGGTTCGGTTGGGTCAGTATTCACCGTTGGAGTTCATCGGGATGCTTTAACTATGTTCAGTAAATGCATGTCCATTCGCAGCTTTATTTTCAGATGCTATTTGGGCAGTAAAGTCTAACAGCAGGTCGGATTTTCTCACGCTTAATCTCAGGCTAAATAAATGTAAAGGATATTTGTAAAGTTTGAATAGAATTCTGTTTACTCATTTCGAGTTAAGTATGAAGAAAAGTGATTGTATGTTCAAAAATTGACATTGTTCACTTTGTGATAAATGAGTGGTTCCAGGAGCTTCCGTGTCCATTTTTTAATTCTGTGCGGTTACATTTTGCTGTGAAGTGATTTGCTCTTTCTACCATTATGAAAGAGGAACAGAGAGAGAAGACATTAATAAAACTATACAGATACTAAAACTTCCATTTCATCCAGCTTGTTTAAAGAATCTAATCAGATAAAGTAAGCCTTGATTTCACTTCCAAACGAAAAAGGGAAAAAAAGGAAAAGCCTCTAAATAAGTAACTCTTACAAATCAGTAAGAAAACAAGAACAATGGGCATATAATATGATCAAACAACTCTAAAAAATATATAGATGTCCAGTAACCACTTGAAAGATATTCACCTTGACCAGTAATTCAAGAAAGGAAAATAGGGTTTAGCTCTGTGTTTCACCTAATAGTTTCATGATCTCCCTTATTTAAATGTAATGATAACAATAAGGATTTAGTGAGGGGCACTCTTATATTCTTTCGGAGAATATATCAATGAAACCTTTCTGGAAAACATTAGTAATAGAGCCTTTACAAAGCTTGTAACTTCTGTACTTGTAATATCCTAGCAAACTAGCATAGGGAAGTGACTCAGCAGAAAATATACTACAAGGATGTTTACTTTCTCTAATGAAAAATTGGAAAGGCTCTAAAAAGTGGTTGTTACGCCACATGCTTTTGATGGAAAAATATGCAGCCATTAAAAATCATGGAAAAAATGGCAACAGGAAAAAATTATACTACAAAAGGATATAAAACTATGATCTATTTTTGGAAAATACACAGTGTTCTACAATGTTAATAGTAGCTATCACTAGGTGGTAAGATAGGTAATTTTCATCTTCATACGTTCTCACAGTTTCTGCGTTAGCCTATATGCACTAATTGGAGGCGAAATACAATAGATCCAGGGTTTCAGCCAGCTAAAGAACCTTTCTCTAGCAAAAGCACCAAGCTAGGTGGAGTTGTGTTCATTCCCAGGATCCTTGAAGAGGCAGTAGGATTGTGAAGACAGAAGAGTGCCCACCTCTTTTGTCATGATCACCCTCCCCACCTTTCCTCCAGGTCATCAGCAGCAAATCAGCCCCCAGTGGTGTCCTGGTCATTAGCTTCCTCCATCGCACACAGCGTCGTTCTGTCCAATGTTTAGAAACACAAAGTGTTGAGGGGAGCAGGGTAGAAACACAGATTCCGGCATAGGTCACGTCGACTTAAGAACTCTGCCTTTAGCCCCTTTGTTTTGTGGATGACATAGCTGAGATTTGGATAGATGGAGGGACTTGCTCAGCGGCCCACCTGTGAACACGAGTTGGGTCAGAACCCAGCCTTCTGTCTCCACCAGCTATCCCTGTCCAGTGTGTGTTGGTAAAAGCATCACCGGAACTCTGTGGTTACAGGTGCATATCATTTTATTGCGCTTTACAGATAATGCAGGACTTTTTGTCACAAATTAAAGGTATTTTATTATGGTGGTCAGTGATCTCTGATGTTACTGTAATGGGGGGGGGGCACAAACCCTACCCATATAGGATGGTGAACTTAACCGATAAATTGTGTTCTGACTGCTTCACTAACCAGCCATTTCCTTCTCTCCCTCTCCTTGCACCTGACACACAACAATATTGAAATCAGGCCAATTAATAACCCTACAGTGGCCTCTTAAGTATTCAAGTGAAAGGAAGAATTGCCCATCTCACTTTATATCAAAAGCTAAAAATGATTAAGTTTAGTGAAGGAAACGTGGAAAGCCAAGATACGCCAAAAGCTGGGCCTCTTGCACCCATTAGCCAAGATGTGAATGCAGAGGAAAAGTTCTTGAAGGAAAAAGTGCTACTGCAGTGAATACACGAATGATAAAGCAAAACAGCCTTATTGCTCATGGGGAGAGTTTTAGTGTTCTAGACAGGATCAACCAACCACATTACCTTATGCTAAAATCTCTTGCAGAGCAAGGCCTTAACTCTTCAATGCTATGAAGGATGGGAGAGGTGAGGAAGCTGCAGAAGAAAAGTTCAAAGCTAGCAGAGGTTGGTCAGGGGGTTTAAGGAAAGGCAATGTCTCCATAACATAAAAGTACAAATCAAAGCAGCAGGCTATCGAGAGGATCTAGCTAAGATGATTAATGAAGGTGGCTACACTAAACATTTTCAATTGAAAATTGAAACAGGCTTCCATTGGAAGAAGATAACTTCTAGGACTATTATAGCTAGAGAGAAGTCAATCCCTAGCTTCAAAGGACGGGCTGACTTGTCGGGCTAACACTCTAGTGACTTTAAGCAGAAGCCAATGCTCATTTACCGTTCCAAAAAATCCTAGGGCCCTTAAGAATTATGCTAGGAACACCTGGGTGGCTCAGTCAGTTGAGAGTCTGACTTCGGCTGAGGTCATGATCTCAGGGTCCTGGGATTGAGCCCTGCATCGGGCTCTGCACTCAGTGTGGAGTCTGCTTGTCCCTCTGCCCCTCCCCGTGCTCGCTCTCTCTCTCTCTCAAATAAATAAGGTCTTTAAAAAAAAAAAAAAAATTATGCCAGGCACCTGGGTGGCTCAGTCGGTTAAGTGTCTGCCTTCAGCTCAGGTCATGATCCCGGGGTCCTGGGATCGAGCCCTGCATGGAGCTCCCTGCTCAGCGGGGAGTCTGCTTCTCCCTCTGCCTCTGCCCTCCCACCTGCTCGTGCTCTCTCTCTCACACGCTCTCAAATAAATAAAATCTTAAAAAAAAAAGAATTATGTTAAATCTGCTCTGTGCTCTATAAACAGAACAACTAAGCCTGGGTGACAGCACCTCTGTTTATAACATGGTTTGCGAAATATTTTAAGCACCTGCTGAGACCTGTTGGGAAAAGAAAAATTCATTTCAAAATACTACTGACAAAATATTACTGACAGTATATTACATTGACAATATACCTGGTTACTCAGGAACTCCGATGGAGATACGCAGTCAGATGAATGTTATTCTCATGCCTGCTGCCACATCTATTCTGCCCCATGGATCAAGGAGTCATTTCGACTTTCAGGTCTTATTTAAGAAACATTTTGAAAGGCTGTAGCTGTCTTACGATTCCTCTGATGGATCTGGGCAAAGTAAATTGAAAACCTAAAAAGGATTCACCATTCTAGATGCCATGAAAAGCATTCATGATTCATGAGGAGAAGTCAAAAGACCAACATTAACAGGAGTTTGGAAGAAGTTCATTCCAACCCCCATGGATGATTTTGAGGGGCTCAAGACTTCAGTGGAGGAAGAAATTGCAGATGGGGTGGAAACAGCAAGGAGCCTGAGGATGGGACTGAATTGCTGCAATCTCACAACAAAACTTGAACAGATGAGGAGTTGCTTCTTATGGATGAGCTAAGAAGGTGGGCTTCTTGAGATGGAATCTACTGGTGAAGATTGTTGAAACGACAAAAGGTTTAGAATATCTCATAAACTTAGTTGATGGAACAGCAGCAGGGTTTGAGAGAATCCATTCCGATTTTGAAAGAAGTTCTACTGGGGCACCTGGGTGGCTCAGTAGGTTCAGCTCAAGTCATGATCCCGGCGTCCTCAGATCAAGCCCCTCATTGGGCTCTCCGCTCAACGGGGAGACTGCTTCTACCTCTGCCCCACCCCCTGCCAGTGTTCTCTCTCACTTTGTGCACTCTCTTTCTCAAATAAATAAATAAAATCTTTTTAAAAAAAAAAAGAAAAAGAAAGTTCTGTGGGTAAAACACTATCAAACACCATCACATGCTAGAGAAATCATTCCTGAACGGAAGAGTCAATCGATGCTGCAAACTTAATTGTCTTATTTTAAGAAATTGCCCCAGCCACCCCAGCCTTCAGCACCCACCACCCGGATCAGTCAACAGCCATCAACATTGAGGCAAGACCCTTGCTGAGAGCTCAAATGATGGTTAGCATTTTTTAGCAATAAAGTATTTTTTAATTGTGTACATTAGTTTCTTTAGACATAATCCTATAGAACACTTAACTACAGTATAGGGTAAACATAATTTTTATATGCCCTGGGAAACCAAAAAAAATCATTTGACTAGCTTTGTTGCAATACTCGCTTTATTGTGGTGGTCTGGAAACCAAAATTCTCCAAGGTATGCCCGTGTATGAAAGCTGATTTTGAAAAAAGAAAGGAATAACAGTAAAAGAAAGGTACATTACTTGTTGATATAATAGAATTAATCAATAGAATCTCATTTTCTCACCTACCAATATGATAGATACAAAATTCTCTGGAAGCCATCTACTTATAACTATGGGGCTAGCTCCTTTAGCTGTTACCAGGAGTATAAACATAAGAATGAAACAAGGTGAGATATTTTATAGTAACACATCCAGTTGAACAGCTTTCAAAATACCTGCTTAACTGCACATCAGTAGGGACAAACTAAAAATCAAAAAGAAGCATCCAGTGAATTCTAGAGTATTTGGAATAACAAGTCATTTGAAAGAATGCTGAAGAAGATCTCTATCAAGTTTTGCTCAGGTCTTGCATGAATATTTTTACACCTTGTGGATAATTTTTAAAAAAGAATGTTGCTATGAGCAAGCTATTCCCAAATTGAATGCAAAATTTCAAAGGGTTAATTATTTTATCAAAACAAGTTGTTTTTTTTTTTTAAAGATTTTATTTATTTTTTGACAGAGAGAGAGAGACAGCGAGAGAGGGAACACAAGCAGGGGGAGTGGGAGAGGGAGAAGCAGGCTTCCCGCTGAGCAAGGAGCCCGATGTGGGGCTCGATCCCAGGACCCTGGGATCATGACCTGAGCCGAAGGCAGACGCTTAACGACTGAGCCACCCAGGTGCCCCTTATCAAAACAAGTTTTAATGAGACAAGAAACGGGGGGCGCCTGGGTGGCTCAGTTAAGCGTCCAACTCTTGATTTGGGGCTCAGGTCATGATCTCAGGGTGGTGAGATCCAGCCCAGCATCGGGCTCTGTCCTGGGCCTGGAGCCTGCTTAAGATTCTCTCTCCCTCTCCCTCTAGGCTTCCCCACCATTAGTTCATTCATTCATTCATTCAT